CCAAATCCCCCATCCCCCCCCCCCCCCCCCCAAATCCCAATTCCCCCTCCCCAAATCCCGGATTTCCTGACTCCCGCTCCCGGAATTCCGGTGTTTTCCAGCTGCTGACGCTGCTCCTGGGGCTCCTGGTGCTGCTCCTGTCCCTCCTCTTCACCTTCCTCATCAGCTCCCGGGCCCAGCTCCTCTTCGGGACCCCCCCCGGCCCCTCCGGATACTGAAAATCCGGGAAAAGCCGCCGGGAAAAACCGGGAAAAACCGGGATCGGCCTCGGGAATCCCCCTCCCGGAGCTGGGAAAGGGGAGAGGGGTTCCCGGGGAACGGCGCCTGGGGGGAATTCCCGGAATTCCGGGTTGGATTCTCTGCCCTGGATGGGAATTCCCGGAATTCCGGGTTGGATTCTCTGCCCTGGGAGGGAATTCCTGGAATTCTGGGTTGGATTCTCTTCCCTGGGAGGGAATTCCTGGAATTCTGGGTTGGATCAACACCCTGAGCGGGGAATTCCCGGAATTCCGGGTTGGATTCTCTTCCCTGGGAGGGAATTCCCGGAATTCCGGGTTGGATTCTCTGCCCTGGGAGGGAATTCCCGGAATTCCGGGTTGGATCAACACCCTGAGTGGGGAATTCCCGGAATTCCGGGTTGGATTCTCTGCCCTGGATGGGAATTCCCGGAATTCCGGGTTGGATTCTCTGCCCTGGGAGGGAAATTCCCAAAATTCCTGTTCGGATTCCACGCCCTGACTGGAAAATTCCCGGAATTCCCGCTTCCCTGAGGGGAAAATTCCTGGAATTTCTGGATCAATCCGGTGCCCTGGGTGGGGAATTCCCAGAATTTTCCCGGAATTCCCGGTTGGATCCATCCTTTCTCCCAAAATCCAGATAAAGGAAGGATAAAGGGGGGGTTTTTTGGGGGGAAATTGTGAGGAATTCCAGGGGTTCTGGGAATATCCCGATGGAAAAATTCCCTTTTTTTTCCTTGGGATTTGTAAATATTATAAATAAATCCATGGAATTCCCAAGGAAACTTCCGGATTTCCGGGTTTTTCCTCCTCGGAGCCGCCAAAAAGGGAAAAATCTCTGGGAATTGGGGGAGTTTGGGAATGGGGAGGAGCCGGGATTGGGTGGGTAAAAGCTGGGAATTCCTGGAAAAACGGGAATGAGGCCCCGGAGCCGCCTGGGAGAGAATCCCGAGGGGAGAAATCCCGGGAATTGCTGGGGTTGGGAACGAGGGAAATCCCGGGAATTGCTGGGGTTGGGAACGGGGGAAATCCCGGGAATTGCTGGGGTTGGGAATGAGGGAAATCCCGGGAATTGCTGGGGTTGGGAATGGGGGAAATCCCGGGAATTGCTGGGGCTGGGAATGATGGAAATCCCGGGAATTGCTGGGGCTGGGAATGAGGGAAATCCCGGCTGCGCCGCGGGACCTTCCCGAGTCCGGGGGATCTTTGGGATCTTCGGGATCTTTGGGATCTCCGGGATCCTCGGGCCATCCCCCGATGGAATCCCCCATTCCCAGCAATTCCAGCCGGGAATCCCGGCGGGGAAAGAGGGAAAAGCCGGGCTCATCCCGCCGGGAATTTCCCGGGAAAGGGATCCCGGATCCGTGTCCCCAATCCCGGCCGGTTTTTTGGGATCAGCCCGGAGCTCCCGGATCCCGTTCCAGGAGCAGCCGGGATGGGAAAAGCGCCTGGAATTCCCGGCGGGGAGCGCTGGCAGCTCCCGGCTCATTCCCGGCTCATTCCCGGCTGGAATTGCGCCCGGAGCCCGCGGCCTCAGCTGCGGCCGCACCGGGAACGATCCCAAAAAATCCCCTCGGGACGGAGGGGAGGGGGATCCGGGCTGGGAATGTGGGATCGGGAATGATGGATGGGGAGCTGGGAGCTGGGATTTGGGATTTGGGATTTGGGATTTGGGACGGGGGTGGGGAGCGATGGATGCGGGGG